TGTCCTTCTTCCCTCTTTGCCTCTCTCTTTCAGGATCAGCAGAAACCCCTAAACCATTTTATTTAACAAATCTTCCCCTGGTTAGTATCTTTAAAGAAATCTGTGCATTTTCTTCCTTCCCTCTCAATTTACCCTTCCCCTCTCATCATTCCTCTCTCTCTTTCTCTCTCACCATCTTCTCCCTCTATCCATTCTATTTGTGAGTCAAAAATTGACCTTAATAATGACTGATAAATGCAAGACCAGTGCTCAAGTGATCTGTCTGAATCAATGAGAAGCAAGGTGGAATTAGATGTCATAAAGAAATGGTGCCACCAACCTAAAAAGTCCTTGAACCTGCCACATCCTTCTCCAGAGTCTCCTCAAAAGTCTACCCCTTCAACATCCCTTAATTGATTCTCTTTCTTCAAGAGGTCAGCATTCAGGGTACTTGCAAAAACTAGTATATTCAATTTTCAGATGCATTGTTTAATTACTCACACAGCAACAATATTATGTGCTTGTTCATCTCATTGAATACACAGATGTGCAGGGTCTTAGCTATACTGTGAGTGGCTGATTAGGGAAATCTAAGGACAAATTGTATTATTGTTTCTATGCAAAAGGTCTGGACTCCTGAGCTCCTTTGTAATTTTTATCCTCCCTTCTGAGAGTTGCAAGCAATCTGGTAATCATGGAGAAAGATCTCTTCATTAGAGATAAGACCACCCAAATTTTAAAGAATGCTGGCAATGTCCTGAGAATGCCAGGTCTTTGCTTTAGGATCTAGATGGAACTCCCAGACATATGACCTGGAACAAGCTGTCAGCAGCATGCGCCCCAGGATCCAGGGTAAATGAGATTCTTGTAAAGTCTGCAGCAGCAACAGCAGCAATACTTTGCAGAAGTCCATTTCCACCACCCTGAAGGGATATGCTGTGCCTGGGACCTCTTTCTTCCTGTCTTTTTGGTACAGCTGTGCTTTTCCTCTCTCACCATCCAGCCATCAAGGGGGCCTGTAGTCATGAGATCATAAAAATCACAGCAGCAGCAACAGCAGCCGTCTTTCATGGAGCATCTCCAAGTGTGTGCCACCCCTTTTGCAAACATTGCCAAACAACTTGCGGATGAGAGGATTCAAGCTAAATGACAGAGACTGGGTCAGGAAGCTGAGGTCTGAACATCTCTGGCAGCCCTCTTTCCTCTAAGCCCCTGAATCCCCTGTCCATTCTCGGTCCTGGGAGCTGACATGAGTGTGTCTGGGTTCCTGATCGAAGGAGTCATTTTATACAGAGTAGACAAAACCCAAATTGCAAGTGTGAGATGCATACAGAAACCAAGATGAGCCCTAGAGAAAAGCAACCTAGGTCCAATCACAGGCGTAAGGGGAGAGGGGGCAGAGCAATGGGCCTGAAAAGAGGAGCAGTAAGAGCAGGCATCCCCTGGTCCAACACTCAGGATAGGGTCCATGAGGAAGGTTAGGGCTCCACGATGCACACCTGTTCAGACATGTCATGGATTTCAAGGCAACCGGGACACCAAAGTGCCAGAAATGGAGCGATCACTTGCAGAGCATGTGAGCACACACACTTTAGGCAGTAGGTGGGGCTTTGCAATGTTATACATTATACATGGACCAAGTCCAATTTTTAATGCACCAGGGAAATGCACTTGTTAAAAGGTCTCTAAGAAGAATAAAGAAATTTAAGATGACTAAATAGGGAGCCAATTTAAGACGACTAAATAAGGAGCCACCCCACCTGTCCTGGCCTGCAAGCTCATGTTTTCCCAAAGCAGGCCTTCCTGAAGTGGGACAGCTGGGCTGACCCTAGCCGATATTTTATCAGCCTACCTCGGTTTCTGATGAGCAGTGAACCACTGATTATTGCCACTGATGGCTGCTGTGTCCTATTTGTAGTGGTCTCTGGGGAGGAAGATCCACAAGCTTCTTCACAAATTCATTTCAGCTCCTCTCCTTCTTCCAGGCTGAGACTTCCCCTCTGCTGCCAATCTCCCATCAACCCCCTTAAGATGAACAGGCTGGGTCACTAACCCCTATAGTTCCTTCGTAGGCTAGCCGGGCTGTATGAATTTCATAATTCTGCTGCTTCTTCTAACACAGAACACCCAGGTCTACCTTCTTTTTCCTGAAAAGAGAGAAATACAGGACCCAGAGCAAGGCATTGGGGCATAGGAATGGCACAAGTCAGACTCCTGGGAGGGGATTCCAGCTTTTCCACTTATCAGTGGGATCAGTTTGGCCTTGTAACCTGGCTGCTCTGAGCTACAGTTTCTAATCTGTATAAGGTAGACAGGAGCGGCAGTTACCATGAAGGGTTCTCGGGATTACAGAAAATCATGTGTAGGGCACCTGGCACGAGGCAGCTATGACTACTACTGTGTCAGCCTCACAGACACAAAATAATCCTTCCATATGGTTAGGTTTAAATCAGGTTAACAAATACCCATTGTGACCTGCAACACTAAGCAAAAGTACTATTTGGGAAATGAGAATGGAATACTAGACATGGTTTCTGTCTGAAAAAGCTCGTAAGTGATTTGGCAGAGACACCCAAACTCCTCTTACCACTAAACACACACTTCCATGCCCCTGCAGCAAGATGGTCAGGCGAGGTTGTTGAATGGAGGCAAATTCTCTGGTGGGGTTTTCTTCTCTTTGGTCCTCTGAGCTCTCTGTGAAGTCTGTGGATTGTGGCCCCTGTAGATTTATCTGAAAGATCAAGCAGAGGTTCCTTACCAGAGAATAAGAAGTGGAGTGAAGAGCAGGGAGGAGGCCACGTTGACAGTAGGAACATGCCCTACTGTCAACTAGGCATGTTCTCTGCCCTAGTCTCTGTGCTGTATGTTCATTCCAATCATTTAACTTAATCCGAAAACAGCACTGCACATACTACAGTGGATGCTGTGCTGCTTCACCCTGATCCCCCATCAAGATAAAAGGACTCATTTCCCAGCTCTTGGACCTCTCTGAACTACCCTTTATAGAGAGCCAACTCACCCAAGGTCAAGTCCCACATCCAATGAGTGGGCAATATGGGGCTCTAAAGGCCTGGTCCCCCTCTCTCCAAGTCAGTACCACTCTGCAGAGCCATCCAGCTTCAGGGCTCTGCATCACCTACATTGCTGCTCAGCTTCTTCCTCTGTCCAACTCTACTTCCTTCTCCTCCCCAGCAGATTCTGCTCCCAGAAACACTCGACAGTAAACTTCCTGCACACTTATTTCCCTGTGAAGAAACAGAGGCTCAGAGAGACTAAGTAGCTTTCCCTAGGTCATGCAGCTTTTAAGTGATAGAGCTGGGCTCAGATCCAAGGTTGTATGACAGCAAGACTGTCATTTTCAGTGCACGAGATGAAATCCCTCGTTAGGAATTCAATGACTCAAACTCTAAAATTCCCTGGAAGAAGTAGGAAACCAGTAAACATCCAAATGAGATAAGTTCTTAGAGTTTAAAACAGATTATAGCACTTAGTCCCTTCTCCTACTGCGAAGCTGTCCCTAACCATCTATGCAGACTGTCTCATGCAACTAACAAGTGCAGCAGGGCCCAGCTGGACAGCCAGCAAGAGAAGCCCAAGAACCCAGGCATGGGGTTCTTACAAGCCACTTACAACTCTCAGCTCTACTATGACTTTACATAAGCTACTCACCATCTCTGGATGGGCTTCAGTTTTCTAATCTATAAAATGGAAATAATAGCCCTGCCCCAAAATTGGTTTTAGAATGAAATGAAACATGATAAATATTTTTAAACTATCTTGAAATGCATAAAATCTTCCAGTTCAATGGGAGTGCAGAGCCTAGAAAAGGATAAAAGGGTGTTTACCCAGACACCCAAGGCTGCTTCCACCAGCTTCTCAGCCTTGAGACTCGGGTTTCACAGACTACTGATGGCTCTCAGGGGACTGGCTGACTAATGTTCACAGTCCACCCTGGAGCAGCATGAGACATGGACATGTAGGAGATTGGATGTCAGAAGACCCAAACTACACAGTCCTAGTTTTCTCAAAAATGAGCTCTGTGAACTTTATAAGCAACCTCCCCTCTCTGGCTCGTTTTGTCTTTATTGAAATGAGGAAGTTGGACTGGATGCTCCTTAGTTCTCCTTCCATCTCGGGCATGTAGAATTCTGTGATGCCTGGTGCCCTCTTCAGAAAGTGTTTCTTCTCCTCCACCCTACTCCTCAATCTCAGACTTCAGCATGAATTCATTACACCAACCTTCCAGCTCCACCCTTCTCTCTTGTTGGGAGCCAGGGGCAGGGGTGGTGGGGAGTGATGGCTTTGCAACCCAAGCAGGAAGCAGAAAAGGAAAGGACAAGATTACTAGCAAATCAAAGGTCACGTAGAGTCCCTGGTACCCTTGGACAACAATAAGCTCACGCTGGTGGCTCTTTCCAGGAGGATGTATGAATGCCGCTTACCTAAATGCCAAGCCTTCATGGGCAGGTCTGAGTGTGTACCATGCCACATGCTGTCTGGTTATGCATTTATATCAAGCGTCACAACACACCCCATTGTTGACCCTATAGAGCATCTCGGAAACTACATTCAGATCTTACCATAAGTCAGAGCAAACACAGTTAGGAAGGAAAACGTACTAGAGAAGAGGTGAGTAGAAATACACCAAAGTGAAATAAACCACAGTTGTTCAGAAAGTCAGTTTGCAAAGATAATGACCAACAAGTTCTGCCTAGGTTAGGCCTTGCCACCTTACCCCTATGCACCTTGGCACCAGAGGCAACAGGAAGAGACAGCAGCTGTAACTATCACCTCGTGGAAGCTTTGGTTTCTGCTTTTTGCAAAGCTCTGCTCTGAGAAAGATGTGCTTCCCAGGAAAAGAGAGTGGGTGATTTGGTTTGCTGGCATAGAGAATGTTTCCACAGTAAAAACTCATCACCAGTATGTTGCAGCTTATAAAGAGATTGCTTTCACTTTAGAAAGGTTTTTAAAGCAATGGAAAGGTTTCAGGAAGAAATACAGAACACCGGTGACACTGAGGGCAACAGAAGAGCTTTTCATTTTGTTCATTCTTCATGTATTCATTCAAAAGTGCTTGATAAGTAGCTGCAATTTACTTGAGTGTCAACCAAAACTGTGAGAATCTCAGTGTGATTTCAAATTGCCCTTTTAGGAAATTAAGTAGAAAAGTGATAACGAGTAACATTTTGTCATCAGTTCTAAAAAAACCATTTGTGAATTTACTTTTATACAGGTTTTCTGACAATAGGGCCACCAGACATTTTGTATTATACATGCCACTCCTGCCAACTGTAGACGTGATATTTAGAGATGATTCCATGCAGTTGCCAGACGAAACACGACACATACATAAACCCAAAGTCGTTTGCTAGTGTTGAGTTTAACTCTCTAGTTTAGAGATGATTAAGAGATCATCTTATGTGGCACCTCCACTGACTGGGGTGCTGTGTCGAGACATCTCCTGAGGCCAATATGGATCAGTAGGAAAAAGTGCCTTAGGATCTGGGCGAGAGGGATACTTGGCATCCTGACTGCTCCATCTTGAAGGCTGCATCCCAGCATCCTTCAGGCCTCCTGATCAGGAGCATTCTCCAGCTGTTCATTTTCTCCGAAGAAAGCATTCGTGATGAGGTCTGGGCTCTTTTTCCCAGGGGCAGGTCTGAACTGGAGAGATGATTCGCATGGCTACAGCAAGATACCCAAGTGCTGGGCCCAGACTGTCTGCCACTTCCCTCTGTGTTCCACACAGCCAGCAACAGAGCAAGCTCTTTCCTCCCAGAAGAAAGCCAGTGTCAGGCATGGCGGAAGCAAGGCCAAGCAACCCTGGGGGCGATAGAGGGGACCGGGTTTGGGTTGGACAAGCCCAGTAGACCTATTTCTCCTAGGACCATGAAAAGCCTGTCCCCCACATTTGACTGGGAGCTAACTGTAAAAGTTGCAGCTCCTTGAGAGTTAACTCTAGAGACAGCTGCACTCGTCACCTTGTGTCTGCATAATTAACCAGCAGTTGTTCCTGCTTTGTGGAACATGGACCAGGCAACCCCCGTGAGGTCCTGTGGGGACATTCTCAGTCTGATTGTCAGACAATTGGCAGGCAGACACAGCTTCTGCAATGCTTGACTGAAGGGACTGAGGACAGTCCGATTTTTTCTTTCCCACCTCAAATCACATTTATCCTTCTCTTCTGTCTCGCTTCCTCAAGGCCCTCCCACCAGGACCAGCCCCTCTGGACACTGACCCTGCTATTCTCCTGAGGTGGCCCAGATCAGCCCTGATATCTGCTTCTGGATTGGAATTTGAATTGAATCCCTAAAATCTTAAGATGTAAATTCTGTAGTGTCTAAGCTAGAAGAACCTTAAATATCTTGTGGACAATCTCACTGTTATGCAGAAGAGGAAACTTCACCTTGGCATACCCAAGGACACACAGCTGGCCAGGGCAGGGCTCCAGCCGACTCTAAGGGCTGATCGTGGCTAAATTCCACTTTCACTTCATCCTCCTCAAAACCCTACCAGACATTCAGTCCACACTCATCTGGAGCTGCATGAGCTCCCTAGATAAGCCTCATGCCATCATTTTAACTCCCATTTCTATACCTTCAACACTAACATCTTATTTTAATTCCAGACCTATTTTTTTAGGTACCTAAGATTCCTCAGATGCAACCCAACAGAACCTTGTTGCCATCTTCTTTCCTAAACCTATGCAATCTTCTGTGTTCTTGCCTGTCTCCATTACATTCTTCTGGATGTGGATCTATTCTGGGAGGCCAATGAGGTGCCTGTTCCTCTGGGAGGCAAATGAAACATGTCTCCCAGCCAGACGGTCACAGGGAAATTGCTCTGGGGCTGAACCTCAGACATGAAGATGAACATGAGGCTACCATGATGACTGGCTTCCCCTAGTGGACTCTCGGGGAGTGGACACAGAAGCTTGGGCATCTGACATCTCTGTTCTCATCCAGTCTCAGCTGTTCACATTCAGGGACTGAAATTCCTTCCTCCCAAGGGATTCAACCTGTGGTAGCTCAATCTGTTTCCAGGGCAGGGAGGTGTGTTAGAACCTAGTACTTCCCAACGGTGAAGTGAAACCTGCCTCTCTCTAAATTCCACAGTGCTAATTAAATATCCCATGTGACTGCCTATCTAATATTAAACATGACTCCCATGTTTCCCAGACCAAACGCCTTCCCTTCTCTAGACGAAGCATCTCCAGGTCCCTGTGCTCATGGGACCTAATCCCCAAAGCACCCCAGACATACACCCTGTTTATGTCCATGGGAGTTAAACCCTGCATAAGGCGCTAAGGACAGACCTGGATAGAGGAGAACCTCACCTCATCTGCTGTGTTCCAGCAGGAAGGTCAATCTGCTTGAAAACTGCCTGAGGTTCCGGCAGTTGTGTGGGCCACCCCATCCACAGGTCCTCTTGCCAATCCTCCAAGAAAATGGGGCCCAATTTCCATCACAATGCCTCCTTCCTGTCCTCAGTCAGGACACCTGCCTTGTTTTCTCACAGCCTCTTCTACACTTTTTTCAAAGTCCTTCTCAGATCCCTCCTCTTCCATGGGTCTATGCTATGTGCACCTCCTTGCACATAGCACACTCCTTGAAAGTAGGACTGGGTCATTTCTCTTAAACGTTACCTATAAAATGAGGAACTGAGCTGGGGAGTCACTAAGGTCTCTGCTCACTTATATATCCTGTTATTTAATTGTCTTATCTGTGAAGTCAATCACAGTTTCTAGTTTGCCTTCCCCCTCAAGGGCATGATAGGGTCTGACCCAGTTCTATTGCTAAATAAACACTTGCTTATTAAATTGAGTTGATACATATTAAGGAATGGAATGAACCAGGAAAGGGAGCTGTTGATAGGGAAAAGGTAGGTCCTGGTTCAGAAACCCTTCTGAACCAGGGGTTTCTGAAAAGTGGGCCCTTCCGCAGGAAGGTGATTCAAGTCAGGACAAGGCAGATGGGAATAGGCTGGAAGCAGTGGACAACACTCAGAAGGGAAACAGGAGAGAGATACTATCATGGCCATGCCTCTCGTTTAGGATTCCAGGTTAGGGTGGCCATCAGAAAAGAGATTGAAGGGCAAGGGATGTGATTGTCATTAGTCCGGGAGCTTCAAAATCAGGATTTGCAAGCCACTCACATCAACACTCTCAGCCTCTGTTTCCTTCACCTCCAAAATGAGAGACTTGGACCAGAGCCTGAAAGTATGCTTTGGGCTTGTTAGGAATGCAGGGTTCCAGGCCCCACTCTGGGATGGAGTGGGCATTCAACCAGATCCAAGGAGATGCATGCTAAAGTGTGAGAAGTGCTGTCGTGGACAACCTCTCTGAGATTCTAAAGCAGAGATTGTTAAGAGTGAGTCTCCATGGTGCTCAGAGTCCGCTGCACCATAGAATCACTTGGGGAGCTTTGAAAATCCCATGCCCACAAGAGAACTTTCTGGGATGGTGGATTATTCTACCTCTTCACTGGGGTGGTGGTTACATAAATGTATACCTTTGTCGAAACTCATGAATCATACCCTTTCAATGGGGATATTGTAGTATGTGCAAACTATGCCTCAATAAAATTAATTTTAAAAGACTATCCCTAAATTTAAATCATTACTTACAGTAAAGCTGTAATAAAGAACAGTATATTTAAGAATATCAAGACTATCTTAAAATATACTGTATTTCTCCCCCAAGGAAGGGGCTGTGCTCAGGAATAAGTCTGAGTTGGCACATTTTCTAAGGATATAAATAAATGCTTCTTTACCTGATGCCACAGCCCATACCAATTAGGTCAAAATTTCTGGGTATCTTTTAAGCCTCTCCAGGAAATTCCAATGGGCAGTAGGGCTGCGAACTGCCTGGGTGCCTCTTGCAAATGTTAGCAGTCAATCCTTACCATACTGCTGCATTGGGATCTGTCTGAGTGCCCAGCACTGTGCAGAGGGCAAAAGGTGGAGAGAGAGAGGAAAGCAGGCAACACACTATGTCTCTCAGTCATTGATGATCTGGTTTGGAATACAAGGCGTGGGCCTACCCAAAAAGAGTGAAGTTACTACTGAGGCAAGGCCACTCTCACAAAGAGTTTGAGTCACCCACCAGAGTGGCAAGGGCATGGCGACTTCTTGGAGGTCACAGATATTCACCTCTGAGGTTGCTTTTGAGAGTCCTCCTCTCAGCTCCCATCCCACCTCTGCTTTTATAGATTAATAAGTGGAGACTCAGAGAAGTCAAGGAGCTGCCCCAAAGTCACACAGCTAGGAAGGTAGAAGGGAGACCTTGAACCCATGCCCTCTGGCTCCAGAGCACATGCTCTTTCCAGAGTGCCACATGCTCCCCACTGGGCGGCAGGCTGAGATCTCCCCTCCCTTATGGATTGGCCAGAACCCATCAATTGCCCTGCTATGCGGTGCTGACGGGCTCTCTGGGACATGGGAGCAGAAAACTGAGGCAAAGTAACGATGCTGTGTGTTGAGGGGGGTCGGGGTCTCTGGGTGACATCCCCTCAGCATGCAGTCCCAGGGAAATGCAGCCACTGGAGGGCACAGGTGCCTGGTACTGCCTCAGAAAGAGGAACCACCATGTGGAGGGGAATAATTCAACTCCAGGAGGCGAGGGCATGGCGAGCCCCGCTGCCCCTCCCCCTTTGCCAGGGCAACGTGGGATGTCAGACAACACTGTGGCCACCTCATTATTGGGCTGCTCGGCCATTGTCCCCGGGACAATGGTTTCCGGCCCTGGCTTTGTGTGGGGCTGCCAGCCGAAGTTATTAACCACGGGAGCTGCCTTTGAGGGACGTCCAAGGGAGGGGTGAAAGGTCACTGGAGCAGCGAGGGGAGCGGAAGTGGGAGGGAGAGGCAGCACAAAAGAAAGGGATGAACCTCCGTCCCCCTCCCCTGAAGGAGCCCCAAACAGAGCTGCGCCCAGAGGGAGGCATGCAGGGGCGCTTTCAGAGGAAGTTCTTGCTGCTGCGGCAGGACAGAAGCAGCTGGGATGGCTGACCATCCTGATAGGCCTTGGAGGTATCAGCGTGGATGGGGATACAAGTTTCACGTGGAGAGGACTGAATGGGTTGATGGAGGGGTGGGGGGCGGACGGGAAACAGGAGGCAGCAGCAGAGGTTGCCTTTGGGGCTTCTCAACTCACTCCTTACATGGGTGTTTGCTACTCAAGCCTTCTGATGTCCACGACATCCGCCTGTGCCCCAACCCTCAGAGAAGCAAACTAGAGGGACCCCAATATGTTGGTCCCAGTAAAGAAAGCTGCCCTTCCTCCCGAGGCTGCCTGTGTCAGCCCCTGCAGATCTGGACGTTGTTGGTGAAGACACCATGGTTTAGGCTTGTCTGGGCAGGTGGTTGTGGAAATTTGGCCATAGATGGAATTGCAGAGGTTGCATTAGTTATTCAGTGTCAATCTGCTTTTAATGGGACAGGGAATCTGATGCCTAGACAGGAGAGGACTCTGTCAAGGGCACAAATCCAGCAATGGGCAGAACTGAAACTTGATACATTATCTGTTCCCTGCCCTTGAGAAAAACTGGGCCTCTGGTGTTTGACTGGGGCCTCCATCCTCGCCCAATCCAGGCCTATCCCAGCTTCTTGGATATCGTCAAAAGGCATGAGTCCCTTTCCTGAGATACCAGGTCCCATGGAAGACAGCTTTGTCCTGCCTCTCAAACCATATAAAGGCAGAGAGCACTGCCCTACAGCTGCCACTTCCAGCAGCCTGGTCTGCCTCCTGCTCTGCCAGCCCAGCGGAAGATGCCCAGACCACAGTGTGCTGCCCTCCAGAGCAGGGCTAGAAGGCCCGGAGTTTTTGGCCATGAGGCCCCAGGAGGCCCATAGCTCATCCAAGGTTGAGGGGTCAGGGCGAGAACTCTGGTCTCGCTCATCACAGTCTCTCCTCCAGCCAACATGCAAGGACAGGACACAAGTGTGGGTCGGTGGACAATCAGCTGAATTATAAGGAAGCATTTATACCTTATCTATAAGTTTGGATATGCCACGGCATTTGATGGGAAAGTATGAATTATTCTACCCAACTTTTATGTTTAAGGTTATATGTTTTTTAGAACTAGAAAGAATGCTTCAGTCCCTCAATATGGTTAATTGAAGAGGAGAAGAAAAAGGAGACATCAAATAGAAAATCTAGTGCTGGGTGGCTGTAGAGTATGAGGACATGGAGCTGGGAAGACAGAGGATGTGGTGGGATGGGAGGGAAAGGCTGTGGAAGGCCTGTATCCCATCTCAGTTCCTCCACTGCTTCACCCCAGATTCTGTTTTTGTTCCCCCGAATCAGACTTAGTCTCCCTCCATTCTCCCATCCCATGTGTGCCCCCATCCTGGTCCTGCCTCACTGGACAGCCTCTCCACGTCCTTCCTCCTCCCTGCTCTATAATTCTACTTGGTGCCCCTCAACCCCACTCAACTCATTGTCCACCTGGCCTCTGAGGCCAGGCACTCTCATTCCCCTCTCCCACCCACCCTACCCAAGGAAACCCAGCACAGACCATCTCAGCTCACTCCAACTTCACTTCTTTGCCAAATGCGTTCCCAAACACCCTCATGAGCTTTGCTAATCTCTTTGCCATCTCTCCCTGCCCCACTCCAAGGGCTCCTCCTGCCTGGTGAAGGTTGCCCTGGGTACCCCAGAACTGAACCTGCAGCAGCCAACACAGTTGACCTTGAGGCGATAAGCAGCCAGGGAAAGCATTTCTAAAACAACAACAACAACAACAACAACAACGACAACTCAGTAAGCAGATTAAACAAAGGTAGAGACGGAGCCCTCCACCCCTTTCACACACACACACATCCTCACACACAGCTATACCACACCCCACAAATGTTGCTCATGTTTCCTTGGTCATTCTGTCCACCCTCCTGTCTGTCCAAAGCCAAGGACACTGCTCTACTCTAAATTTTGTGTCCCGAAGCCCCCAAATACTGCAACCCTGACCCAATGCACGAAGCCACCCCAAAATACAGCAGAGGATACCAGAGCTTTCATTTTCCCTCAGGATGGCCCATCCTTTGGGTATGCCAACTCCATGGTCACCAAGCGCTGCATGTGGGACAGGGCACAGTTTGGAGGCCTTGGTCCAGCCACCGCCCCAGACCCACCTTGGCTCTCTCCTCACTAACACCTGAGAAGCCCAAACTTTCTAGTGTTTAGCAACAAATTAAACTCTAAGCCAACAACAACAGAACAGGGTGGAGTGAGTGGAAAGCAAATGAAATGTTAAAAAAAAATTAAGCAATACTTGCATTCTCATTAGTAGGAACATGTGAGATGAAGCACGTTATGTTATTAGGCATTCTCTCGATTCAGTAAACACAAGCTGAATAAATTTATAAATATCAGCATTAAGTGAGATTTAACGGGGAGCTGTTTATCTTCTTCCTGTCAGGCAGGCGGCAACGCTCTCCATGTATCACTCGCCAGCCGTGCAGTCCTCACTCGCTTGCCCAGGTAAGCTGGGGCAGAGCCTGCTGCAGCCCAGCTCTGGTTGTGGGAGGGCTGGCACCAAGGAGCTGCAAGCTTACCTCACCTCATCTCACCTCACCATGCCGGCTGCGAGGTGGCCTGTGCGGTCCACGCTCAGGGAGTCACACTCCCATGCTGCATCCCAGCCCCTCCAGCAGCACAGTATGTCCTGGGTGACTT